TGTGTGTGTGTGTGTGTGTGTGTGTGTGTGTGTGTGTGTGTGTGTGTGTGTGTGTGTGTGTGTGTGTGTGTGTGTGTGTGTGTGAGGGGTTTTTAAAGTTTAAAACTTTTCACTATACAGACAGTAGTTGAAAGGTGCACCCTCTTTTCTCAGTTGACTTCTAAAGTGACTGTTTTAAAAGAGTTGTAATCATACAAATCAAACATACAAAACTTTTTTGATAATTATTTCATAAAGATAAGAATAATCAAATATAAGTGTGAGTAATTTGATTTTAATCAATCTTATATTATAATTTCAGGGGCATATTATATGACCCTGGAAGTACAACATGATTATGAATTTAAGGCTAAATCATTGCACCGTAAAATAGTTATACTTTAACAAAAAACTCTGTAATTATCCAGGTGACAGGATCGGCTGTCAATAACACGTTAATAACGTCAAGTTAAACATTGCTCTTTTTAGACAATTATTTTTGTCATAAGAAACAGACCTTTAATTGATCTTTGGATGATACGGTCAACTATCAATTACATGGTCAACGACTAGGCTTGCGTTCACCTCAACGTTCACGCACCCCCGAGCACCTACGTCGGATCGTGAGTGGGTGTCATGAGTGGGGGTTTGTCAGTAAGGGGGGCGCCGGCAGATTCTGGTGGGGATGGAATAAAATCTCCGAGTGTACGGGGAGGCAGTCCAGTCAAACTAGTCAGTCGACCGAGCGATGCGGGAAGCGACGGTTGATCGTCGTCGATTTCCATTTCCATCGACTCCGTTCGCAAGCTCGTAGAGAGCACTGCGAAGGTTAACTGAGAGATGCGGAAGGGATTGGTGATCATGCGTACGTAGGGAAGGGTAATCTCGCGTCGGGTACGATGCCGCGAAAATTCTCGCTTCAAACAACCCTACGACGACGACCAACGCGTATCTCGACCGGCTCGCACCCCTATCGACGCGTCGCGCCTTCAATCGTGAGAAAAAAGGGAGAATCTGCCAATCGCGTCGACTATTCTCAACCTATCGGTGCCCTCGGCGAAGGACACTCTTTCTTTGCTGGAAGAGATCTCCCAGCGCGGTTAGATGAGAGAGAAGCGAAAAAAGAGAAAAGTTCCTGTGAGAGATTGCTATCCTCGCCTGACATAGCGAGTAAGTAAGAACATCGCAACCCGAAAAAAAGTTCCCACCCTCGTGTGTTGTTGCGCCACTTTTGATCACGTTCTCACGTGAAGCAGGAAGGGATGGACGTCCACGTGTGTGCATGACGCGTAGATCGTGAATCGCGTTTGTTTACAGATCTGTTGCACCAATAGTACGGTTCTATTCAAGTAACTTTGATTGGCCTATTCCGGCTCTATGCCTATATGACAATCGTAACGATAAAGTTGACTTAAATTACATGAGTATGTTAGTCAACTTTGCTCTAAATAAAAATTGGAAAAATATGAAATTAAAAACTAAAAAAACGTGAATAAGTTTTTAATTATATTTTCATAAATTCTACGTACAGATATCGGAATACCCTATAAACATTCGTTCAATATATTTCCTCTCTTTTTCTTTCGCTGTCAATTATAATCATTTTAATCTTTGTACAGCATCCATATATAAACGCGCATTCCAAATAAAAGCTCTCTCATAATATGCTTGGCATAATGATTTTTCTTTTCAAAATCTAAGATGACATAATGCGCGATTGAGAATGTCTCAGAATCAATATTTACGCAAAGTTTTTTCATTTCCCTTTTCTTCTCGTTTTATTTATTACATGCAACATTAAATTAATATTAAATAATGAGTATTCTGACTATATTAGTTACATCTGATGTAACAGATTAAGCTATAACAGAAATAATGGCTGCGTTTAGCAAAGAAAATTAATCAGTTAGCGCTTAATGATTCTTTAATATAATTGATTCTTGCCTTTAGTTCTTCGTTAAATCTAAGTGTAGAAACCAATTGTATTAAAGAATCACTAAGCGCTAACTGATTAGTTTTCTCTGCTGAACGCAGCCATTAGAAACATTGTTATCGCTAAGTGACGTTGATGTAAGAAATAAATCTATTCTAAACGTAGATCTCGCGTCATCTTCTTGATTATTGCTAACAATTCTTCCTGTACAAATATTTGGCAGTATGCATATTTCGCAATGTGCATGCTATTCTACACTGTTAAATCTAAACAGTAACAAATTTAACTTAATTTAAGCCACTGTTCCTACTTAATATATCGTTATTTTATACTAAAATAATGGATAAATTTGTATAGAGTCAAATTTATTCATTGCTTTAATATAAAATAACGATGGTTTTCATTTAATATAAAATAACAATAGACAAATTTTTGATACTGTGTAATGTCAAATTTAGCTATTGTTTTAGTATAAAATAACGATGTATTGAATAAGAGCAATGCACTGAAAAAGTAATTTTGTTGAAGAGTCTAAAAATTTGGCTAGATACAGATCTAAAAATAATTTTATTGAACCATCAAAATAATTTTGCAGGAATCTTAAACATGATGAACAATGCTGCAAAATGTTTTGATCTAATATAATAATTGTTTTGATGGTCCAACTATTTTGATGGT